AAAAAAATATCTTTCCTAAATAGACGTGTGCATATAGAGCATTACAGGTGGTTTGAAAATCCCACGGATACCATAAAGTTTCAAAGCCATAGGAATATGCATATTTGTTCGTGTTTTGAAATTGATGAATATGTATATTTATAAATTTTCAAATTATATAGATATGTATATTTGTTAGTTTCAAAATATGAACTGGATATGCATATCTGCTTGCATATCCTTTTGGTTTTTAAATCTACATATATATATATATATATATATATATATAACATTGACATTTAAATATAATCGAAAATGAGTTTTCATGAGATTTCAAATAAAAAACATATATGGAAGAGTTTTTGAGATTGAAAGCTTAAAAGTAATAAGGGTGTAAAGATAAATAGATGTGATGAGATCTTGGCTGTAAAGAACAAATTTTTTTAATTTGTGTTTAAATTTAACGTTTGTATGTGAAGAATAAAATTAAGATTGCCTTTTGAATTTTTTTTAATAAAAGTAAAGAGTAAAAGGGGTTTAGGGTAAAATTAAAATTTCAATTCGTTTTCATGACGATGGAAAATCACATATCTTACCATTAATAAAAGGGTTTTCTTTTTAATTCTTCCAATAATATACATTTTCCTGTATCCTAGCCTACTTTTTGTTTACCCTTTCAAAAGAAAAAGAAAAAAATAAAATAAAAATAAAAACCAAACATTTGCATGTAGTCTTAAACTTTTTTTTTTTTTTGGTTAGAAGGGTGGATGAAACAACAAAAAATAAAATAAAAAATAAAAATTATGAGGTGCTACAAATAAATGCCTTGAGGATTGAAGCAATGAACTCGTTTTTTTCCGTTTTTTTCTTCTATTTCATGAGATCAATGTATCCTTATCACGAGCAGAACGGACAAAACTCCCTACTTTTACAATTTTGTGATCACAAAAAGCTAGTTTAATTCACATGATTAAGCCAACTTAACCAATAAAAATGGCTTTATAAACAATTTTCAAGTGCAGAGAATCCGAACATATATCAAATTTTCTCTATCATTCCATTTACAATAAAAAAATTCAGCTCAATGCAGCAAAAGAATGCATATCTTTCTCTTGCAACTTTATGCAAATTTCTTGCTGTTTCAGGCCTTGTCCTTTTTTTTTTTTTTTTTTCAAGGGAGGGCAATGTCCTATTATATGAAAAGGGAGAGGGGATGACTTAGTTCGAAACCAAGCTCTAATATCTTTCTTAAGATTTCTTTGCCACTAGATCAAGAAGTAGAAGACAGGCCTTGTTCTTTTATTTTTATACAACCGATCTTCAGCTGGTCTTTTCAGTACTCCCTTTGAGCACAAATGGTCAACTTCATTTCAAACTACTAGCAATTCTCCAATGGATTCTCCAACCAATATCAGCCACATTAGGTTTGTTTTAGTTGGCTGCTTAAGAACATGGAAGTATAGAAAACCATACATCGAAGCCTGGTGGCGACCAAATGAAACCAGGGGCAATATTTTCTTGGATTCACCTCCTACGGAAGAATTTCTACCTTGGTTTTCAGATTCTCCTCCTTATCAGATTAATGAAGACATCACCAAACTAAGAATACACCCAAAACTTGTGAACCCTGTCGAGGTTCGAATGTACCGTTCAATATTGGATGCGTTTAGATTAGGAGAAAACAAATATGTGAGATGGCATGTAATGGCAGATGATGACACCTTTTTTGGTTGATAACTTAGTTGAGGTACTATCAAAGTATGATCATAATAAGTACTATTACATTGGGACGAATTCCGAGTTTGTTAAATCCAATTATGATTTCTCTTTTGACATGGGATATGGTGGAGCTGGTTATGCTTTGAGCTACTCCCTGGTGGAATCCCTGGTCCCGGTAATGGATGCTTGTATTGAGAGATATCCACACTTGTATGTCAGTGATCATCTATCTTCCTCCTGTTCAGCTGATTTAGGTGTTGCTATTACTATTGAAAAGGGAATTCATCAGGTAATTAATCTTAATATCCATATTAAAAATTTTGAAATTACTCTGCTTGCAACTCAAGAAAATATAAAGATGAATCCAAAAATTAATTCAAATATTTCAAACTACCTTTAAAGTGCATCCTGAAGTTTAGAGTTCAAATTTCAATACTTGCAATCTTTTTTTTGTTTTATCTCCAAACTACTTCCTTTGGTACCAAAAAAGGAAGAAAACATTAAGATCATAACTTTTTAGTTATGAAAATTTTAATTTTCTGATATTTTGAACGCAGATTGATGCAGTAGGTTATATATCAGGGCTCTTATCGTCTCACCCCCAGTCTCCTCTTCTCACACTTCACCATTTTGGCAGCATAAACCCGATCTTCCCGTCCAAGAACTGCGCCGAATCAATACAACATCTGATGGAAGCTGGAAAAATTGATCAATCGCGTCTGCTAGAACAAACAATCTGCTACCACAGGGCAACCAGCTGGTCTTTTTCTGTTTGATGGGGATATTCTGCACACATATATGAAAAGCTAATGCCTCGAAGTCTTCTAAGAAAACCCATCGAGACATTTGGTCCATGGCATAAGCACGCTAGGCCTCCATTATACATGTTCAACACCCGGATGCCATCTAAAGATCCATGTGAAGCTCCTCATGTATTTCTTCATGGATTCCATCAAGAAAATGGAAAACAATCTTGTCCTTACTACCTACAACCGGAAGTCGCAACGAAATTTACAGCCTTGTTCATCATCTGGCAATCATTCTGCAGATTCTATCACCAAAATTCAAGTTTTCTTGCGGCCAACAATGCGTAAGGAGGTCGGTCTTCTCAGTCTTTGGATTGCATTTATAATTTTTATTTCATTGATCATTGATGTTTGTATTAATTTATTTCTCAGGCTGGAAGAATAGAATGCTGCGACGTTAGATATGTGGCTGGCATGGATGTTGCCAACGTTAAGTAGAGAGCTTCTATAAATGGAGAAGTTATTGCATAATTGTAGTTTGATTTAACCAACAGCATAATCTGGTTCATCTCCCATGGAGTATTTTGTGGCGTTTTGCCCAACTCCTCCCATATAAGAATCGTTTTCAATAATCAACTCATTAGTATTAATACATGTGGAAGCCGCAATGAGGATAAATCTTTTTTATGTTATATAAGGAGTGCAGCTGGAGTAAAGATGATCTAAAAGCATTGTAAAAATAAATTAAAATAGTGTTTGATAAATTTAACATATAAATGCTTATGCCATAGAATGTTAGAAAAAAAAAATTTTATATTATTTTAATATTTTTAATAAATTAAAATAAACAGATATTTTTATTAATTATAATAAAAATAAATTAATTCAATAGAAAATAGACAAAACAAAATAGTATATATGAAATAATATAAGCTTTCTTATAATTTGGTAATCTATTTAAGAATAATGTGAGAATGTAAAAAATTTTTCATTAAATATTTATTATTAAAATTAACACTTTTTCAAAGGCTACTTCGCTTAAAAGTTTAAATCTACTTTCCAATAAACTAAAACTTTTAAAATTTTGAGAGCTGAATATATGATTTTTGTTTTTACAATAGATAAACTCTTCATAAGTTAAGTCAAGACCTTCTTACATTTTTTTTTCTCATTATTATTCCTTCTCAAAAAACATGCAATATTTAATTTTTTTTTTTATTTTGCTTGTCATAGCTAAAATTAGTGATTAGCAAAGAAAATATTTAAAATGAAAGCCTAATTAAATTTGCATGTGAAAAACGAAAGAAAAAAAATTAAAAAATTAATGATATTTAATGTTATAGGTGATAAAATGAGCGGATAGCTATGGCACAACCCACACTACTTAGTGCATTGCAAAAGCCAACTTTTTGTCCCATGGCATTTTCTTTCTTGATCTTTTCAACTTCCAAATGTTGGGATCTCTCTTCTTTCTCCCAAGCTCTGTTTGTTTTGTCAAGATTGGTTTTCAAAAAATTTTTTAAAATGTTCACTTTTTGACAAAAAGTAAAGATTTTTATTATTTAGATAATTAAATGAAATATATATTTTTTAAAAATTTATTCTTTTTTTAAATAGTAATATTGACATAACTATTAAAATATTAAAAAAATTTAATACTTTAAAAGATAATATTTTAATCATAATATTTCATGTTAAAATATTATATTAATACTAAATACTTAAAACAATGCTAGTTATTATTAAAACATTTATTTAATATTTTAAATATTTAAATAGAATTATTATTATTAAAATATTATATCTATTAAAATAAAACATTAAAAGTACTACTAATATTCATTATTAAATATTAAAGATTTTTATATTATTAAAATAGTAATATTACTATATTAAAAATGTTTATTATTAAATTATAAAAAAGTATTATTTATTTATATTTATTAATAAAATAGTAATATAAGAAAATTTATCATTAAAATATTTTATTTCGCTCTTTTCTTCTTTAAACTGTAAAATATGAGTGCATTTTGATAGAACAAAATCATTGATCACTCAACAAATTTGTTTGCTTTAGTGACATGGTTTTATTATTATGCATTTGAATTTAACTTATGCTTGTTAGGTGTTTGATTTTATTGCTTAAGAATGTGTTTGATATATAAGATTATGATAAAATAAGATAAAATAATATTATGAATATGATTACATTAAGTAATGTCATCCTATTTTGTATTTGATATGTACAAAGATTAAAATAGAGTAATCTATTTAGTAATCAAAATTATCCTTCTTTAAAATCTATACATTTAATTTTTAAGAATATAATAGAACATATAAATTTAATCTCACATATTAAAAATAATTCTCTCTATTTTAAAAAATTTGAATAACCCTATACTAAAATGATAATTATCAACTTCTTTCATCTATCATCTTATTATATACTAGACGTAACCTCAAAAAATGGGATACGTATGTGAATTGAGCTTGAGAAAGAACAAGTTTGAATCAAAGTGAAAATGAAGGCAGCTAGATTTTTCCATGTGTTTTCAGCTATTGTTATCAGCAAGATACCATAAATTTTGAATAATCCACGGCCTGGAATTTTGAACATATATGCTCAATTTGATAGATTTTGAATGTATAATACCTCTATTTATCTCATAGTAGCATACACAGACTTTTTAAATACAATTTTCGTTATCATCGGCAGAAGGACAAATAAAATGTTCCTTCCTACAACCATATGGGGACCACTTTCAAATTTTCAATTTGCTTTCTTACCCCTTCCCACAAAGACTCTTGAAACATATGACATGTATAAGTTAGATTCAAACTAGAAATGCTAAACTGAAGTTTGGAATGTCCTATAATTCCTGAGGGCCGTCAAACGACTGGGTCTTTCTAAGATTCCAATGGAGGCCTTCATGTATGCTGCGTAAAAAATCATTAGTGGAATCAACTTGGCATGCCGTAGGCACAGGCCAAGGCGCCATGCTGCACAAAAGAGCATCCCCAGCAGCCAACTGTTTTCGGTCCTTTCCATCAAATGATGCCCAAGCAGGACTTCTGCTATTAAAAGGCACCACTATTCGCACTGTTACATGCTCAGGCAATATCAGAGGTCGAAAGGATAATGAATGTGGACAAATTGGTGTGAACAAGATACCAGGGACCTGCAATTACAGGAGCATACACCAGCAAGATATTTTTTCAGTTATATGATCATAATTATACTCTGAAACTAGATGGAGAAACAAGTGATATTAAAACAATATCATGAAACAAGACCTAGGACAAAATCCCAAGTGTTATGTCACCAAATGTGTATCAAGAAGATCTAAACAAGCAAAAAAAAATCACTGATAATTTGTCAAAGATAGTAATAAACTGAGATCAATACTCCAATTTTAAGTAACTACAGATTTTTTTCATCCTCTCAATGATGCTATTCATCTCAAAAGATAATATTCCACAAAATCCCAACCTTGTGCCAATTCTATCGATAGATGCCCACCTTAAACCATTCTTTATGGCTTTGTTGACTAGAACCAGAATTAAGTACAGAACATCGAATTTTGCTTGATATCTCTATCTCAAACATCTTTTCTATTTGCCTTAGTGCTTCTATATCTTCAAAAAATGTAAAGTTTTAGGCTTCTTAGTGTTGCCAGGCATTCATCTTCAGGATCATTCCAAATATTTCATTTGCTAGACATCTAACTTGGTTGGATACCAATCTGCATAATCAATTACTGACGATCTGAAGGAGAAAACTTGCCAACCAAACAATCAAAAATGCTACTTTCATTTGTTAGTCTTGCAGTTAAAATGAGTCCTTAGCTGGGCAACCTATTAGTCCAAGAGAGTCCTGATTACATCCCTCAATTGTTGTTTCTTCTCAGTGAAAACATCTGGAATTCTTTAATGATATTATACCATGACGGATAACCAGATTTAAATGGACTTCATCATGGTCTTATTTTTCAAAAGGGAATTCCATGAGGATGCCTCCCCTCCCAAAGTTTTACTGGGCAGGTAGAAATACCAGTGAGATCATGAAAAACAAGTCCACAATATAACCATACATTACAATTTGCAAAACATGAAAAAATATTATTTATTGCTGGTGTCACTTTTTCTTACTACTGTTGTTAGCATTACTGTACAACCTGTAAAGAATACTTAAATACAGTTCTTGTGGGCAGTGCTATTCTCGTTGTTCTAAAAGGTCTGGTAATTGATGACCACCATCACCCGATTTAAAGTTGAATTTCATCCCTACCCCAATGGTTCGACTTGGAGGTCTGAAGTTCAAACGGCTCGGAGCAAACAAGAGGGAAGGGAGAGTTTATGAAATGGGGGAAGGCTGACCCATGTTATGCAATCCAAGACCTAATGGATTTCCTTATGTACCAAAAAGGAAAGTTGAATTTCAAATGAATGGTCATATAAATACACTATGTAGTCAGAAAATTTATTACATTGTCCTTGCTTCTCTACTGCATAAACAGACAAAGCAGCTGTTCGTTTCTGTGCAAAGGAAACCCTAGCCATAAGCTCTAGCAGTCTGAGTTCAGAGAGAATATGTTCGTCTAATTATTTCCTTTGAACAATTTATTTTGCTTAACGCCTTCATCACATATTAATAGCTAATTAGCTCTTAAACTATAGCTTATAGGTAACTGCTCACCTGAATCAGAGTTTCAAAAAAGCAGAGCAGCATTGACTAGTTGGAAAAATATTACTAGTATAAATCTACTCTTTTGTTTAAACATACTATTGCCTTTCGTGAAACCAATCTAAATGGAAGCAACAAACTATACTTTAGAAGTTTTAGTCATCAAAATTCTGACAAGTTCTCATTATATTCGGTAAACATGATATTTTTTCAAATTTAATGGCAGTTAAGATGATATCAGAATTTACCTGTGGGTGGACCATTGATCCTCCAGCTGCCAATGAATATGCAGTGCTACCAGATGTTGTTGATAAAATCAAACCATCCCCTTGCACACATGTGACAAAGGAATTGTCACAATAGCATTCCAGATTCGTGAGGTATGATGATATTCCACGGTCAATTGTAACCTCATTCAGAACAAGAATAGGCTCTTCTGTTTCACACTCATTTTTAGCTGCATCTCTAACCACGCGGCATAGTAAGCGGTGTCGTAATGTTATACTGATGGGTCCCCTTAGGATAGAATCAAGGCATTCTTTGAAATGTTCACTATCTAGAAGAAGTCAAAGAATTTTCTTTCTAATTTCAATATGTGAGTTAGACAAGCATTCTCAATTAAAATGAAAAAATAAAAATAAAAAACAATTTTCAATATAACCATTTTCAATCATCAATTCATTCATCTTTCATTAAAGAAATACTTCAAAAATATTTAAGGATACGAAAAGGAGTCATAAAGCCCAAAGACCCTAAAGAAAATGGAACGATTGGAGGAACAGGTCCTTTGAACATTGATGCCGCCTGCAAAGAACAATTAGATAATAAATGATAATAAGCATGAACTTAGAAGAAATAAAAATAACTAGCTCAAAAGAAATTCAAAGGCACAAGATTTATATGCATTGATAAGTTCTATCCTAATGATTATAGTCATGTTGAAGAAACTGTATCCATATAAAAACATGATCGTATAAAACTTTGAGAAACAAATCGAGGTATGAATTCAGAATTAACGTTTAATGCAGCAAGTTTTGAATTTCATAAAAACAACCAAGAATAAACTAAATAAGTAGCTAACTATAACTCATAGAAATGAAAAAAAAAAAAAATCTTAGAAAATTTACTAACTTCCACTTACACTAATGCAAATGGTTTTCTAAACTACACATCTCTTCCCATGTTTTCATTAGACTCTAAATGGCATTCGCTGTTAGGATGTTATACCACAATCTTCAAAATCCAGGCTACACATTTTAACAAAGTTTAACATCATTCGTAAAGATATGGTACAAAAAACTAAATTTAAAAGTCATTTGTTCTAACACAAAATGTGAATTGCACCAACCAAAGATCCAAAGTGATAATTTGATATGTTCAAAGGTTTGTCATTTCTTTTAAAATATAGGCTCAATCAAAACAGAAACAACATACCCACAGTACGGTTCCATCACCACCAAGAGTTATAACAAGATCAACTTTCGTGTGTAGGAGCAAAATTTCCCTGTCTACAAAGCAACATAATAAACTTCTAATAAGAAATCAGAATATCATCCAGAAGTCAAACATAGTTACATGATAAATACATCAAAATAATTTAGTACTAAAAAATTAAGTACAGAAGCATCAGCTCCAAATACCGATAAGCACTGAATTAAAAAACAATAACTGTAGGTTATTTTGCTGGCATTTGACCTGCAGTCAGCTCATTAGATAAAAAAAGGTACTCTGACCAATTTAGGCAAAAACAAAAGCAGTTAACCTATTGTGCCAATATAACAGTAATGTCACATCAGTTTAGATAAAACAAGCTTAGGTTAGCTGTGCAGCGATTTTTTTTTTTTGTTAATTAATATTAATAAATTGAAATGTTATTGAAATTAGATTTAAGTAAAAAATTTCTTGCTGACTTATAAGTGGATCTTAGTATCTAAAAAAAGTTTTCTTAAAATGCCCAAAATTTTAGTTTAGAAATGTTTATAATATCAAATACCAACTCAATCATAGATGTTCTTTTTCAAAATTGATTTTAGTATTTAATTTCATCACAAATAATCATAAATGGTAGGTTCATGTTATTTATACTTTGAACTATATGTTAATTAATATATGTATTAAAATGTTTATCAAACCAAAATTTATTAGTACAATTCACAATTTACACTTAATGGTTGTTTAAAAAAAATTAAAGTGAAAAGTTACACATAAAGTAGCCAAAAGAGTAATAATCCTAAAGTGTTAAGTTTAACTGAATTCACAAATTTAACATTGCAATTAATTCCTTCGATTAACATCATAATGGAGAAAACTATATTAGTTAATGAATTAGGTGAAAGACTACATTACTAAAGTGATGAGGCAAAAAAAAGAAAAAGTGAATAACACAAATTCAAAGTGTTAAAGAGAAATAAATACAAATTATATCTTATAAACAGCAGAAGAGGCAAAACAAAACAAAAAAAAGAACACTGTTGAATGAAGAGTGCAGTGGAGAGAGAGGTGACACTGTTCTCACAAAAGTGTCACTAAACTCTTCTTTAGTATATAGTAATAATTTATCCTCGTAGGAAGCCAAAGGCTAAGATCAGGGTTCTTCATCAGAAAATAATCCTCTTTGGCCCAAGGATGGGTATCTTTTGTGGTTAGCAGGTCATTAGTATATGAATATTTATAAATTTAGTCAAGGTTTGGCAATGTCAAGGGTATTTTGGTAATTTTTGGATTTCCCAGAACGAGCTTTAGTCCTGGTTGTTGGGGTATATATGTCTAGTTTGAGTAACAAGGGATTTTATGTGGTCTTTAGTTTATTATATGTTTTATTACTATGTCTAATAGTTTCAGGGTTTTAGAATATTTACAACAAGCTAATATTTGCAGATCTACATCTCTTTGTAGAATGTTTAGAAGGTTGATTTATAATAGAACACTGGAATTATCGAGGAGAATCTTTTATATTAGAGTAAATAGAGAATTTCCTGCCTCCGTTTCTTCTTCGCTCTTGGTACAATGTACTCGGGTTACTGTTCCACAACATGGAAACCTCTTCCTTAAAACTAGTTGTTTCTCCTGTTTGCAACCTAAATTAAATTTGTTCTTTCTTGACTTTCAGCCACAACTACAGATACAGTGTATTGACTCTCTAAAATCATGAGTTTGAAACATGACTTTTTTAAATAATTTATTTAAGAAAGCAAATCAAACTGAAAAAGCAACAAAAGAACGACCAAGAAATCTGACAACACTATAAGCAATCAGAGAGTTAAACAAAAACATCAAAAGCTTCTGTATAGGCAGCACCAAAGACATAATAAGCCAAGGATCAGATATTTGATTTGTAATGGATTAGGTATTAATGTAAAAGTAACTACTTTAATACGCAGATTTGACATTAAGCATAAATGACTAACTTCTCACCATCTTTCCATGTCTGTACATAGTTGAAGTTGGTTGACTCTGTCAGTAGTTCAACCCTCACACGTGGTTCAACATAAATGTTTATCTTTTTCTTCTCTTTCAACCATCTGGATTAAAGATGAAGAATGAGACAGATAAAAAGAAATATGCAACAGAAAATGAAAAAAAAAAATGTATTTGTTCTTTTAAGTCATGCTGGCATGCAACACTGTAAAGATAATAGCCAGCCAATATACTATCAAAGAAGTTAATGCAAACCCAGAGAACTAAAAATAACCAACAATTAACACAAAGTTGAAAGGCCCACAGAATATAATAAGTACAATACCCAGATATTGGAAACTTTATCTTAAAGCAATTGGTATCACATACACCTCAACCAGCCCAAACACCATCTTGTGTCCAGAACTAGGAAATCCTACAGTGCCTTATTTTTAAAAATACTTGGCAGCTTTAATATTTAAAAGAAAACAATTAAAAGCATAAATTTCTTCACAATAAACATTTGTTTCAACGAGGGAGGTCAAGGGACAGTGCAATCTAGGAAAAGCAACAAGCACCCCTCTAGACCAAGAGCCCTGACTGAGGCATATGCCCTCAAAGCAAACAGGTTCACAAAAAAGGCATACCTAGTTAAGGCCCCTTTGTCTTCTTCATTTTCTATTTTCTATTAGTTGTATTTTAAATTGAAAGAAGGACAATGTGTCATTATCAATAACAAGAAAATTTGATTTTTTATTCACAATTTCTTATTGGATATAGATGCAACAGTTTGAACAAACTTATTCATCGAATAGAGTTTATAGCAGTTTCAGTAAGTATTAGGTAACCTGCAACAAATATTTCAAACAAACGAAAATCATTTTTAGCTTTAAGTAGCTTTAAGGATCGTAAATACATTTAAGGGCACATACAATTATAACCACTAATACCTCCTAGTTCCCAAAGTACAGGCATCACATAAACAGGAAAGGGCCCGACAATAAACCATAGGACATGGATGAGTCCTTCAGGGAAGGCACACAGAAGAGGGATGACTAGTGCATCAGAAGCCACTCATATTACAACCAAAAAACAGGATGCAAAAGAATTGATTAAAAGAAAGAACACAAGAAACTCCAAAGCAAGTGCTTTTTTTTTTTGGATAATTAACTCTTAAAGCAAGCAAAGCAAATTAAAATGTGCATTATTTCAAATGTCTAGAAAAGTTTTGCAGAGATTGGTTAAGGCAAAGATGAAAAGCATGTTGCATGAAAACTTGCATTCAGAATTACGCAATGTAAAACTAATTATCATTATCAACATCCGCACCTGACCATTTGTGCACAAAGAATTCGAACAGAAACTGAATTCGGTTTTGTCAAAATAAGCACAGTTTGTGGGTCAGATTCCCACTTCAGAGAAATCTGGAAAGAAACAAGGATTTACTTAAAATGACAGATATGAGGCACAATAAACAAACAATATCCAAACAATATTCTAAGAGAAGATTTAAAAAAAGCTTACATCAGTCCAAGATAGAAATTGAATTACTTATAAAATCGCAGCAAACAAAAGCTTCTTAACAGGATAGAGGAAGCAATACCTGTTTACTGCTACGTTCTGCCGTCGTAATATTCCCTTTTTCAAAAGAGACAATGTCATGCTTGTGCTGATCACCATTCTCACCCTTGCACCACCATGAAAGTTTAAATGATGCCTGTCACAGAATATAGTTTTCAATAATGTGATCTGAGCATTTAAAGTAGTAATAATTTCACAGTTGGAGTATTGGATAATGTTTCCTTGTTACTACAGGTTACAGCTGTAGGCACTCAAAATTAGTTTGAGAGAATGCCTAGGTTGTCATGGAAAGAAATATGGAAAAGCTGACTCCTGAAATACTAAAAAGACATGAAAGGAAAGCTTCCCAAAATTTTGTCCAAATAAAAAATATATATATCGAACATCAGGAAACAGTAAAGATTTAAGAAAAAGATTAAAAAAGACACAAGCTAAGTGAACAAGAAAAAAAGTATAATAAGCAAGAAGGTATTGATTCAAAGTAGAAGGTTAATAAAAAGCCGATACCTTCCTCATCATCTTATTACAATCTACATTGGAATTCGAATCTGATTCTCTGTCACGAAGAACCTCATGAGAGCAAATCCCATGCTTCATGCAGCCTTTCTCACGATGCTCATCTGATTCATTCTGCAGCATCAATTGGTTGTCTGAGTTCTTTATTGTCCTGCAATCAATACCGCCATTTTGCTCTGCAGAGATCCGCTCTGCAATTCGAGCTAGCAAATTTTAAAGAAGTAAAATCATTTGTGTTAGACTTTAAACCAAAATAGAGAGGCCAACACATACAAAAGCACGTGCAATAGAGAACCATGATCATTACCATGAAGTACAGGAACTTAAAATTTAGAGCTCTTCAGAGGAAGTAAAAGCATGCATAACTTTAAAAATATGAGGAATTCAATAATACAAAAGCATAAAATGAGGAATGAGAACAATAGTGATTAATGGACATACACAAGCCCAAGCAAATAGGCTTTCCACAATTTTAAGAACTTCTCAGGTTTAAGTCAGGGCTTCCACGGCCACACTTATAAAACTCTATGTGTGGCTATAAAGCAAGCACTAATCTAGAAAGCGAACCTAAACCCCCAATCCCCCTTTTCTTTATTCGGCGACACAGCAGAATACTGTGATGAGGACAACACTGAGGTCTCCTAATCATATATTCATCTCTCAATCAGCTGGGAGGCTTTAAGCTGCTTCCTAACTTTTCTACAGAGTCAATATACCCTTCCACATTTGCCATATGCAGGCCAATTTCCATCCCAAACAAATAGGCTTCCACAATTTTAAGAACTTCTCACTTCTCAGGTTTAAGTCGGGGCTTCTGTGGCCATATCTTAAAAATTTTTAAAGCATGCACTAACCTGGAGTGCAAACCTAATCCCCACCCCTCTTTACTTGAATGTTGAGGAAGAAGAGTAATGTGATGAGGACAACAGTATAAGCTCTCCTGATCATATAGTTCTCTCAAAATCAGATGGGAGGCTTTAAGCTGTTTCCTAACTTTTGTATAGAGCCAATACACTCTTCCACATTTGTCTATGACATAAGGAGACCAATTTCCACTGCAAACAAAGCAAGTATCATGAAAAGTTTTCCCACCACCATAATTCCTCTCCAGCATTTACATAGAGATGCACTCAAGCAACAAGGACTCTTAACATCTCAACAGAAATCATGTACAAACAAGATCCTTTCCCCCACTAAATGAATTATTTTGGAAAGTCCCAACATTTTTTCCCTCCAGCCCAAACAGTCAACTCTATTTAACATATCTGCTACATCCCATAAGAATTTTCCTGAACAGAGGCATACAATCAATCATAGGCTTGACATCTGCAATCCATACAATAACAGAGAGAAGGCCCTTATTTTCATTTTCCGCTGACCCAGTCTACCAATAACCATCCTCATCCACTGTTATGTTTCCTTTTAAGTGTTCCAACTTTAGATAACAACATTTATTTGGAGAAGAAGATACCAACTATTATATTGCAGAAGCAAAATAGGTGCCTCAATCAACCAGATTGCTTAACCATTTTGGCCAGAAGGATAAAAAATAAAAGAAAAATCAAAACACAAAAAATCAACAACTGCAAGTTGGTTCGGCAATATGAAATGTAGGAATGTGACAGGATTGACAGATAAAATGCTTAAATAAACTCAATGCTATCCAAAATAATCTACATATATTTTACCTCTGAAAACCAATTTAATTACATTCACTCTGATTCTTAGAGGTCATAACCTAGCTCAAGTACCCAACAACTGAGAGTAAATATTCACATGAGAAGATTTCATTTTTTATTATCATCAAATAGTCAACATTTTCTTGCCAGTATGTTAACGTAACTAAAACCTTAAGAAGAAAAAAAGAAAAAAGCAAAAAAAGAAAATTGGACCTCAGACAATGGCTTCTGCAATTCAAGATTGAAAAGTAATAATAAGAAATAAAAATAAAACAAATTGTAGTAACGAAATTTTATGAGATAGAGAAGCAGAAATGACTACAAGAATTTGAACAAATTATTACAGGAGCAATTCATTAAAATAGTTGCAACAGAAGGCATACTAAAATTTTGAATGCCAGATACATCACACAAAAAAAAAAAAAAATTGAGGATGGAATCCTTGATGCATAAGTACTTAGTTAAGAGCCACTTACCAATCTCTTGTATTTTAAGATTAAACATGAATCTGTGCTGATAAATAATGTAAACTCATAAGACAAGAGAAACAGAGAAGTCTGTGCCATTCTCTGATGCAATGGAAAACCTTCCGGAGCTCTCAAGCCCAACTAAGTGTGTTCAAGTAAATAGAGCAGCAATTCATGCAAAAACGTTGAGCATATCCAATAAACCCCTAAATAGACCATTTTGAGAAGATCAAAAATGGATGATGACAATGTCTATCCAAGTGAATGATGTCACATAAAATATGCAACTAAAACTCTGTTTGTCTATGCTAAGGCATCCTATATGGCTAATATATGTGTAAAACTCCATGGAAGTATTACCATCCAGATTTAAGCTTTATCGCAGGAAAGATTAAGTGCAAAGTTTATGCCTAATTTGCTTCACTTGACAAGTATCTCCAGATTTGGTCAGCCTCCGCAAAGAGATAAAAGATGCAACAACCTTCCTTTTACTTGGCTTCCATTTCAAAGAAAACATTTCTTAAACACCCAAACAATCTTATTTCCTTCAAACCATTTATACACCTCTAATATAGCTATTGTACCAAAAACTTGCATAAGCATCAAATAAAACCTTTAGCCATACAATCCCACAACTCTTGCAAGTGAATTAACTTTAACAATGTTTGTTGCTTTGACAGTTTTTCAGGACAGGATAGTACTGTGATGATTCTCTAGAGGAAGCAACAAGATGACTGATAGTACTGTGAAAGTTTAAGAAAATACCTTCTGATACTCTCTTTTTTTGTTCTTTCCAAACTTCCCAGAAGACAAGACATGGAAACATAATTCTTATCATTTCGATTGCATTATCTAGAGAAGTCCGAGTCCACCAACTTTGTAGCATTTCACAGATATTGTTGCCTGATATTGGAATAGCCAGAATCTGATAATGAGTCCAATTGATTAGCAAGCTCACCAAAACCAAACAAATTGTCTAATTTTCAATACTTGTGAAACAAGAATGGTCTGAAAGCTGCTCCAATGTAATGAAGCAAGTCCAACTTTATCCCTCCTTATGATAAACAAATTATCCCTCCTTACATAGAAAGGAAAATCATACAAAAGGATAGGAGCAGATCTTCAAAGAAGAGTGCAGAAGAAGAAGAAGAAAGCAAAATTATTCATCAAAAAAAAAAAAAAAAAGGAAAATGAAGACAATGTCCAAATATTAAGAGTGATGAAAATACTTCTTACAATGTTTTGCAAAATCAAGACTATTTGAACCTCTCCATTTCATCCAATCAACTTAATAAGAAATCAAAATGAAATTCTATAATATATTTCATATCAATTCAAAATATCCTTTTGAATTCTTGCTCCACTAGATTGAAATAGGAAACCTGAGAGACACAATCATAAGTTCATAACCAGGCTAGATTGAAAGCTTAGAAATCAAAGAGGCCGCTTAAGCATTTTCTGATCAGTATCACAATTTAGGCATGAAGGATGAAAACAAAGATTGGCAAAATATTTGATAGAACAGTAGTTTGTTTGGCTGGAGTTGCAGCAAAAACTACTATTGAAGTAGAGCTTTTGGCAGTGTGCTGTCGTATTAAAATCATTTGAAATAACTAGAAATATAATTTGTCTATGAGAATACAGTATTATATTTGTCTATCAGCTTCACATTGTAACTCTTTTAGAAATTCTAAGGTTGAATTTTCAGCTTTTAGTCCGAAAACTCATTTTCAACTTTTAAAATACCTAAAAGTTGTTTCTCAAAGCCCTGTTTCACCCAGCTTTAGCATCATGGAGTGGAGAAGTTGGACCAAACTGGCACTACGAATTATATGTCAAATCGTAAACAAATAAAGTACATCAAAAACAAAGATCCATCTAAGAAAAAGGATGACGTGAGGAAAGGAAGCCTTCTCCTGATGGCAGTGCCAAAGAATTTCCACTGTGCAACAAATAAGTTATTGGTAATATCAACTTGCTTGCCAAAGCTAAACGATTAATAACATCTAACTGTATAGAATCTAAATTGCAGAACACCTACACCTATCAATGTCTAGTATCATAGTAGAATCCTTAAGGCACTAAATAGGTAAGGGGCATTAATTGGATTTGTTGTTTAAAAAACCCAAAGCTATGAGAATTCAGAAACTACAACATGAATATTGCTTAGTTAGTTTAAACTAGAAATAAAATAGCATCAAAACAAAAGCGGAGCTAACTTTTCTGCCCATAGAAAATTCAAGCCCATAAAAGATTCAACTTAAAAATTAGTTTCTCTAAAATAACACAGAATTAGTTTCTCTAAAATAACACAGAGAGACTTCTGACACCAAAGTGAACAACCATCAAATCATGCATGGAGATAAATACTAACTTTGTTGTAGAATATATGCTCAATACTTAAGTGAAGTACATCGCACACATAAAAATCATAAAAATAGCATAAATTAGATAAACGGCATTGCAAAAGTGACTCATTTACCTACCCTGTGCAGGGAAATTTTCAAGTAGAAATAAAATGACAGATGCATAAAGCTGATGAAGTGTTCTGCTACGAATAAATACATATAAATAGACAACAAAATGAAAAAAATAATCTTCACGTGACTGCAAACTTTTGAGATGTTCTTTATTCCTTCTTAATGACTATAAGAATTACGAGAATAAACACCAAATGTTGTGTTGTGCCATCAAGAAACAAATTGTCTATAAACAATCTAGTAGGAGAAGGAGGAAGAACAAGGAGAAGTAAAGATTCAAACCAGGCATATGAAGTTCAATATGCACCATTCAGTTAAGCAATTGACAAGATCAGCAATATCTTTTAACCAAGCTAGATTAGGTTTTAGGTGTAAATCAAACAGCTAGCAAAAGAATCCTAATCTGTAGCTTTTTTCTGGTCAAACTCAAGCCTTCTTTTTTTTCCTTTTGTAGAGAAATTTGCATATCAATAATTATCTAAGAAATACCTAGCATATGAAACACACATGATGTGGTCAAAAAAAAAAAAAAAGAAACGCATATTGACAGAACAGCTATGCAGTTTAATCTTTAAAAACCTTTACGCTCCATCTGTATATTCCTGGTTCTCTCCAGCTCATATCTACGTTTCCATTCAGCAGCCTCAGCTTGTGCAGAAGCCTTTCCTTCAGCAGCACGTCTTAATGCCTTCGCAACAGCTAGTAATGTGTTCAAAATAATAAGCATAAAGAATGAAATAAAAAACAGATAGTTCAATTGGAAGACATGTATGCAGGGGAAGAATGAAATAAACATACTTCTCAAAGCTTCTGAGAACTCTATAAGATGTTCATCCATTCCATCAACAGGAGTTTGTTGAAGAAGTTCTTCCACTGCCTTCTCAGAATGTAAAAATAAAAGTGAATCAACAAAACCATTCTCTGGCTTAGAGCATGAAACACTTGCATCCCCATTTCCAAAGGAAGCCTGTTCAAAGTTGATATATATGACATTGATTCCAACCAGAAAATGAAATATGCATTTTTAATATATATAAACCATTGATGAAGGACATAATTGATGACAGCGATCGCAACTGTAACTCATGGTAGTAAATGTTAACTTACACAAAGAACCCATTGATAAAACATGTTAACTCACACAAAAAACATTCATGAAGGACATAATTGCATCAAATTCTCTAAGGCCGTAGTTGATTGTTATTTTAGTTACTTGATCAAAAAAAGAAATTGGGACAAAAGTGATAATATATACTTTTTTCACACATAAAAGACAAAGTTTTGAGCTTATGGATTTTAAAAAAAAAGGTATGATTTCACATCTACATAGAAACATGTTGTTTGAATTCATATGACAGTGTTTAGCCATATATTCAGTTTCAATAAAAATATGGTTTTCTATTTTACTATGTGCTTGTACTTTATAGCAAAATGTATAGATGCAAAAAAGCAAGTAGTACAAAGGCAACAATCAAATAAAGCCTAGATTAACTAATGCATTTTAAAGATTGAAAATCATTAGTTGTTTCACCTGACCTCATCTTACTTTTTTTTTTTTTTTTGTAATTCCTCCCCATGCAACACATCACAAAGTTAGCAGTGGCAACAATGCAAAACAGACTGCCTCAAAAATGCCCAAAAATATTTTGAAAGGAAAGAATACTGGCATTAACATATTTAACCAAATGAAGCACAATGATCATCAATCACTCTTCCACAAGCCTTCCTATATGGAAATTAGAATAGTTCTGGCAGTAAACTTTGGCCGATTCTTCCATAAATATGGCAATCCCTAATAGGATTCTAGAAAGTTCTAAAAGTAGGCTGTCTAATATGCAGAAACGACTCCAATGAGATAAGTACATGAATCCGACAAAAGAGACCAGGAGAAAGAACTAAACATCCTATTGCCTGTTTAACAGGCCAAGACACAATTCAGGTCAACCAAAGCCAGGTTGTTTTGAATAAACAGTTGGTAACGAATGTTATAGCAGTAATCCTACAATGCAACACGCGTGCAAGAATGCACAAAACTTCCATCTCCAATAACTAAAATTTCCAACAAGTTAATTGAATTTCATAGTTTATGAAAATCCACTATGAAATTCCACAAAATATTAGAAGTTCACAACACTATGTGTTTTACATACTCAATTCAAAATTTTCACCTGGATATCCATTTCTGATCAATTAAAGTTTCTAAAAATTTCTGTTTTGTCAGTTTCACAAGAAAAACCCAAAACTAGCTGTACCTACTATCCAAAAAAAAAAAAAACTGATAGAATTCTTTACCAAAGAAAAATAAACCCAATACAGAATAATAATAATAATAATAATAATAATAATAAAAGATATAATTCAGCAGCAACAAAACAACCCAACAGCAGAAAGACAGAGAAACAAACCCTAATGACACCAAAGCAAATAACCCAAGAAGCAAAGTAAGAAATTTTGCAGAATTAAAAAGCACCAAAGACATGTAAAGAAGCCATGTAAGATATGCATCATAAACAGTGCAGATAAAAAGGAAAGAGGGAGAGAAAATTATGATTACAGTGGAATCAAACTTGCTGGGAGACATGGTTGTGTGTGAATACGAGGGAGATGAGGGCAGTTGAGAGAAAGGAAAAGGAGAAAAGGGCAGGTTTTTATAGGGATGGAAGAGGTGCAGCTATTGCGATCAGATGAACATGTGCCATGAGTTTGATTTGGTGAATTCTGTACAATTTGAAGTAATAATTAATACAAGATTTCTCCTTTGCCTTTGCCATCCATTCCATTTTTCAACCCCATAATTAAATTGTTAGGCAGTCAGACAACTAGAAATGTTTGGTTAGGGGTCCCACTGACTTGGGTGTTCCCGTGTTCTTCTTCTTCTCTCTCTTCAAACTTGATCTGCTTCTTTTATTCTTTTCTTTTAATTATCAAAAAAAAAAAAAAAAGAAATTGGCGAAAGCCTAACAATCTGATACTTGGTGGCATACGGTGGTCTGCCTCTTCCACGTGGAGATCATGTGTTGCTCAAACACTCAAACTCAAAGGTGGCATAATGATAATAATATCATAATTGATCATCTTAACGATAATGAAATCCTCTGTTTATTTTCTATCAATCTTTCTTTTTGTTTGAAAAATTGAAGTTGACTAATTGGATTTTTCAAACGGGACCATCCACCTATTTTAAGAAATAAATTTTTGTAAAACTAAATTCGATCATTAATATTTACAATTTTTTTTCCCAAATCTTATTAAATCTCGGCCTACTTTATAAAAAAAGTTGAGTATTAATTTATCATTATTTAAATTATTTAAATTAGTTCTTTTTCCCAAAAATGATTTTTTTAAGTTTACAAAAAGACTCATTATTTAAATTAAAGTAGTCATTTTTAAATAAGTAGTTCATTAACAATGATAAATTTACTGAAATCGAAAGACATTTTCTTTTTATTTGTTGTTGAATTCAATTTCAACTTTATAGATTTTTTCTTTTAATATTTTTCTTTCCGCAATTAAATACATGTCAATAAAGTATATATTGTGCATTTTTTACTAAGTAAATTTAAATATATGAACATATAAAAATAATTATAAACTTACTTAACTAAATATATATAAATATTTATTTTTAGGAACATGGCTTGAATTTAAGTCGTAGATGAAATGCATTTAAGTAATTTATTATAGTTTATTTTTAAATTATAATCATAATTAAATATTATTTTCATATAATAAATTAAATAATTATATTATTATATTATAATAAAACTACAATCTAATCCTATTTAATAAATATTATATAACAACATATATAAACAAATTTATCACATAAACACCTATGTGGATAATTATTTTAAATGACACATAAAATAGTTTTTTAAAAGAATAATATAATTTCTTTTAATTACAAATTAGATAATTTAAAAATTACAAAAATTAAGTTTATCTAAATCTTTTAACAATATTTTTTATCTTGATTTAAAAAATTATATTTTAAAAAAAATTTAAGTAAAATATTAAAAATTCAAGTAATTTTATGTAAGATTTTGAAAATTCAAAAAACTTTCATCTTAAATCTTTAAATAATAACATTATTAAAATAATTATATCCATTTGAATTCTAATTATCAAATTTATATTTCAAAAAAATATAAAAATTTTAATATTATCTTTATCACTTTATTATATCTATTTTAAATTTTAAAAAATTAATTTAAAATTTATCTATTTAATTATAATTGCCACTAAAGAATTTTTTTTACAAATTTAATACTACAAATGTATTGTGTTATACATCAATTTTTTTTTTTTAGTAACTTTTTAAAGATATATTATATTACTATTGTAATTTTTTTTGTTTATAAAATTTTTAAAGGTATATTTTATTGTTATTACAATTTCATTTATATGAAAAATAATATTTTTTTCAATTTATTTTTTCTTTTTTTACATATTTTTTAATATTTTTCGTATTTTGTATAATAATTTTTTAAAGATTATTAAAATGAAAATGTGTTAATACTTCTTTTATTATTTAATTTATAATTCATTAATATATTTTTATTTTTTAAGAAAAGATATAATTTATTTTTATTTAATATAATTTTACAGGTATATAAATGTTATTGTAAACAAAAATATCTAACGGAAAAACTGTTTTTTTTATTTTCAAAAAAATTATTTTTAATAACAAATTAATATATTTATAAATTTTATATATGTCATAAGTTTTAAAATTTTGAATATAATTTAAAAAAATTAATTTATATATATTCATATTAAATAAATAAAATTATTTCATACAGCACACAAGTTATAATCTAGTTATTAAATAATCAATTAATAAATTAAAAATAACTATAAAATCAAATTTATATACGATAAAATTTGAAACTAAAATCTAAAAAATTTTAGATAGAAGAGATTTAAAAAATATAGACAAGAGTATAATAATATCAAAAGCAAATCCAAATTATATTATACATGAATAAAACTGTTGGTGGATCATCTGCCTTATTTTAAGACAAATTCATAGAAAAAAGAAATAGGTAGGTGGGTCCAGAGCGTCCAGGCAAGTTAGAGGTGATTGGAGGGGTTCCGTAAAGGACGGAGACAGGCGGATGGATCAAACGGGGGATTTAAGGCTTCAGTGCTTTACGTATTCGCAAACGTCACGGATCACCATTTAAAGATATAATTATTAATTAATTATTTACTTATATAAGTATTGATTATATGAATATAATATTTAATTATAAATATAATTTAAAAAATAAAATTATTAGATGAAGAAAAAAATTTATTCTATTAGTTTGAGATATTTTTATTTTTTTAATATGAAATTTATAATAATTTTTGTATTTAACTATATAACAGTCTCATTGTATTAATTCTTGCATTTAAAAAAATTCATTTTAATCCGAACATATTTTGATTTTGATATTTTTATAAGATTCACATAAAAAAATTAAGCAAACTCTAATATTATTTGTTAAGAACTTAAATTTTAATTTAAAAGTGTATTTATTAAGTGGAGGAAGATTTTTAATTTATCGACTACAAAATCATCCCGTCTCTTGTGATCCGTAGCGCAAATCCCTCTCTCTAATTGGAGAGAGGCTAGGGGAAAAAGTCAGTGACAAATAAAAAGCTAGCTGACTTTATGTTAAGATGGGGAACTTAATAACTTTTAAGGAAATATTAATATAATTTCAGAAAATAATGCGGGGTCAGGAGGATTTTTGTTTTTGTTATTATTATTTATTTGGAGAACGTTAGTCAAATAATACATAGATGTTTTTTATTATAAATTTTCACAATCCAATAGCAACAGTCTACCATAAGCCTGGCAACGTGCCCCATGCCTCTACTAGTATTCCACTTTACAAAATGCATAAAATATTTATGACGTAATCAACCAAATATTGCAACTTCAAAAGCTAGATTTTTTTTTTTGGTTAAAACGCAGAAGCTAGATTTTAAGTTAACATCCAATCATTTTCCAAATTTAAATCCTATGACCAATTAGGTTTTAAAGTTAGATAATATTTAGTATATACGATAATTTTAAAAATTATGAACATTTACACTCAATAATTAAATCATTATATTTGATAATAATTTAAAATTTTTACATGACAAAGATGTTAAATCATTAAAGTAATAAAATTATTTTCTTAAAAGATTATTCCATTCTCATTCAAATAAATAAAAAAATTTATTACTACATTTTAATATCTCATTTATAAAAAAAAAAAAAAACACTTAAGTATAAAATATTCAATAAAAAAGGGTTGAAAATCTTAAGTAAAAGCTAGTTAATGAATTCAACCATTCTTATTTAAAGAAAATTTTATTATTTAATTATACTAATCATATTTTTTTCTTTGAAACTATTTATTTTTCCTTTTTAGCTTTTATTAATATAAAATATTAACAAATATCTATTCAATATTTAATTTTCATTAGAATACCAAATAATTTTTACACTAATAATGCAATACTTAATTTTTTTGAATTAAAATTCAGTATTTAATATTTCACTATTAAAATTTTAATTTATCAAACAAATTAGTTGAAATGAGCACATGGATACCATGTATAAATCTTTAAAACAAATTAGCTAAACAGCCCACCCACTGTTTGATACTATACCAAATCAAACATATTTTGTGTCCTATTTTCTTTATAAAAAATGCCAGTTTTCTCTCTAGCTACATAGTTAGTAGCAGGTATATATTCTCAATGGAATTTGTCCAAGGTCTCCGCTAAAATCATTGACTAGCTAAATATTCTTTTTCATGAAAATGACCATATAGCTATAGACAGATTTTTTTTTGGTTTACTTGAGCCACCCACGAAGACCAAGAACAAAATACAAAGTGCCAGTTTTCAGAGGGCTGGCAGAACTGGCAGAGACTAATTCAACATTTCCTACCAATTTTCTTCTTTCTTTGACCACAAAAAAAGGTAATGAAGAATTTAACTTTTATTTGGGTTGTTGCAGAAAGCGAGCTTTTGAAAAAAATTCCTCTCAAGCGATTATATATAAATCATATTTTAACTTGTTCTTAGGCAGTGACGGATTGATGACTTTTTTATTTACTTATAATATATATATATATATATATAATTATTTAAGTTTTTAATAATTTTGTCAATAAAAATAATATTTATGAAAAAAATTTTGAGAGTGCTAAAAGAAACTTTTCTTTAATTTTTTTTTTTTTTACTTTTAAATCTTTTGGGGTGTTTATGAAAATTTTGAAGGTATTCAAGTAATTTTTTTTTTTAAATTTTTTTGTTTTTCAACTTTTAAAAATACCCATAAGCCTAAATCTACTCATGTTTTAACATCTTGCGGAAAAAAAGTTAATATAGTCAATGAAACCATATCTTAATGGTAAGAGATTTCCAAACTTCAAGTCCTCAATTTGAATCAATATTTTTATTCACCTTTGTATTGATTTATTAATTTATTTAATATTTTTATGCATAATGCAATTATAATTATGTTCTATAGTTTAAAATATTATAATTATAATTTTACTTATAAATATAATTTCATGAAATTAAAAAGGAAAAGAATAAATTACGATTAGTTACAAGATATGGATAAGGTACAAATTTACAAATCTACTTATGTGAGTGGTCAAAGTTTATCACTAATTTTTCATCTGATACAATTTTACCATCAAACTTTTAATTTAAGAATAAATTTACTATTATATTTTAAATTTTAGAGAAATTAAAGAATAT